GGTTGGGAGGGGAGAAAAGTGCAACAATGAATGAATGGAAATCCAAAGTCTCTGTAAATTTTCATTTAAATTAATAATAATTTTTAAAAATTTTAAAATAAAAAATGAGAGAGTAGCATCTAGGATCTTAAAGGCTTTGGGTAGCCATCAAATAAAAAACTGCAAGTCTCTACTTTCCATGAGTAAAACAGTAACAAGGTAAACAAAAGTACACAGAAGAAACAAATCTGTACAAGCCACAACTTTCTCTGCCTTGACCGCAGAAGAACTAGACAGTATCTGGCTACCACTATAGACCACTCAGACTTGGACATAATAGTTGGTCTAGGATATCATGGGAGAAAATGTAAAATTCTTCCTTTCAAAAAAAGAAAAAACTAGACAAACTGGGTCAACCAAGTCAATCCTCTGAGATCATCCTTTGGCAAAACTGCAGAGTGGCACACAAAGTAAAAAGGTAGTTTACTCCTAAGAATGTTGATCTACCGAAAAACCACTACATGAACCCAAAAGGTCAAATGATGAGACATGAGCAGACAGGAAAACTAGAGCACCACAGAGGGAACAACCTGAACACAATGCAAGAGAATGCTAACCCACTGTGATTAGTGGCATTAGTAACAGCATATATGCCACACTGAAAAATTTGTGTGGCTATTGTCACATGGGAACCTAACATGCTGTGCAAACTCTTAACAAAATCTTATGTTAAAGCTTTAAGTTTTTTTTAAAAAGGGGGAGCTGTTAAGAAAATGAAAAGACAATTTGAAGACAGAAAACCCAGTAACGGGGAAAATTTGCAAATACATTTTCAAATAAGCACATGAAGATACGCACATAATTAGTAACTAAAGAAATGCAAATTAAAACTGATGCACACACTAGATTGGTTAAAATTTAAATGACTGATAAAAACAAGAATGAGATAGCATCCACCACAGCAACAAACAATAGCAAAATTCAACAGAGCAGCAAACAACAAATGCTGGTGAGTGAGGTTGTGGAGAGACTGGAACCCTTTATTCACTGCTGGTAGGAGCGTCAAACAGTGCAACCACTATGTAAGAAGTTACAATATTTTCTTAGAAAGAGAAACACCATTTGAGTCAGCAATTCCACTATTGGGAATATACCCTAAAGAAACCAGACCCATCATCCAAAAGGATGTATGCACACCCACGGTTAGTGCTATGTTCGTTATTCACAACAGCAAAGAGAGAGAAGCAACTCAAGTGCCCATCAACAAACGAAAAGATAGAAAACTATAATAGAGTCACACAATCAAACAGTGAATAACTGAATCAACACTGAATAACAATTAACTCAAAAAATTACACAACATGGGTGACCCTGAGAGACATTGTTGTTGCTGATGTTGTTTTGTGTCATCAAGTTGCCTGTGACTCATAGCGACCCAAGTACAACAGCTCTAAACCCTGCTCTATTCTGAGCCAACCTTATTATCTTTGACACACCTACTCCCATTATCCCAGTCACTGAATCAATCCATCTCATTCAGGGTCCTTCTCTCTTGTGCTATTCCTCCACCCTTCTATAAGTATGATATCCCTCTCCAACAACTGGTCCTCCTTGCAATATTCCCAAAGTATGTCAGACAGAGCTTCAGCATTCTTGCCTCCAAGGAGCAGCCTAGATTCACCCTCTCCAGGACGAACCTGTTTGTTTTCTTAGCAGTCCATGGTATTTTCAATAATCTTCTCCAGCACCACAGCTCAAAGGCATCAACTCTCCCTTTATCATCCCTAGTCATTATCCAGCTTTCTGATGCATAGTACTTAACTGCAAAGACCATGGCCTGGATCAAGCACACCATAGTCTCCAGACTGACATCATTACTCTTCAGTACTTTGGAGACTTTTCCAATGCAATGTCTTTTGATTTCCTGGATGATGGTACCAAGAGTGTTGATTGTAATGGAGAAAGGTGCAACAATGAATGACTGGAAACCCTAAGTCTGTGTAAACTTTCATTAATTTTTTTAAAAAAGAGTGTTGATTGTGGAGTCAAACAAACTAAAGCTGTTAACAATCTCAATCTCTTCACCAACAATCATGATGCTGCCAATGAGACCAATGAGTAGTAAGAATCTTTGTTTTCTTGATGTTGAGCTTCAATCCATATTGAAGGCTGTAGTCCTTGACCTTCTTTAGGTCCTCCTCAGTTTTAGCAAGCAAGGTTGTATCATCTGTACAATGTAGATTGTTAATGAGTCTTCCTCCAATCATGAGGTCACATTCCTCCTCACAGAGCCCAGCCTCCCAGATTATTTGTTCTGCATATAGACTGAAAAGGTATCAAGATAGGGCACATCCTTGGTGTGCAAACTTTCTGATTTTAAACCATGCAGTGTTTCCATGCTCTGTTCTGACGACTGTCTCCCGGTCTAAGTACAGGCCTTGCATAAGCAAATTCGAGCGTTCTGGAATTCCCATTCTTCTCTGTTAGCCAGTTTTTTGTGATCCACACAGCAAAATGCCTTTGCATAGTCAATGAAACACAGATAGACATAACTCAGGCACTCTCTGCTCTCAGCCAAGATCCATTTAACATTAGCTGTAATATCCCTAGTACCACGACCTCTTCTAAACCCAGCCTGCACATCTGCCAGTTCTCTGTTGATGTGCTGTTACAGTCATTTCTGGAAAATTTTCAGCAGAATCGTGCTCACATGTGATACTGAGTGAAATGTCTCAGTAACAAAAGGACAAATACTGCATAATATCATTGTAATAAAGTAAGGCTGACACGGGACGGGGGAGGGAGGTATTAGGAGCAAACTAGGAAAATAATGGATAAATAATGAACACTGCACTGAACAAATGGAAAAAAAAGAACTGTTTAAAAGGAATATATATTCCCAGAAGTGCATGGTTCAAATCCACCAGATGCTCTGCTGGAGAAGGAGGAACAATCTCCTCCTGTACCAGTCAGATCCAGTTTGATGGTACACGCATAAAAAAATAATAATAAAAAGGAACATATACATGACTAGGCATTATATGTATGACAATAGTTTTAAAAAAAGTGCATTTCAGAGTAGGTAACTGTGTAATAATGAATGAGTATTTTTTTAAAAAAAGAAAGTGAACTAAGGGTGAGGGAAGGAAAAGGGAAGAAAATGTGCAATAATAAATGAATAAAAAGCCAACTTTTCTGTAAACTTTCATTAAAATCACAATGAAAATAATAAAAAAATTAAGAAGAAAAAATACAGATAATAGTTTCAAAAGTATTCTTACATTCTGCTAGTAGAAATGTCAAATTATACAATTATATCGGAAGTCAGTAGTAATTTCTTAAAATGTAAATATGTGTCTACCATAGTCCAGTTATTCTATGGCTAAGAATTTACCCAAGAGAAATGAGAGCATATGTTATACAAAGACCTGCCCACAAATGTTGACAGCAACTTTATGGGTAACAAAACAAAACTGGAAAACTACTCAGACATCCATCAACAGCTGAATAGATAAGCTAACTGATATTTCCATACAATAGAAAACTACTTATCAATAAGCGAGAATGAATTATTGATACATGCAATATATATGACTCTCAAAATACTTTTGCTTAGTGAAAATCAAGCAAAAAAAATGCCTTGATATCACTTCTAGGCAAGTCTAGGGAAAAAACCACACTCATCTATAATAATAGACTAAGATCCTTGGTTCTTTGTTCTATGAGGGCAGTGGGACAACAGTAAGATGAGACAAGAAAAGGAAGATGGAGAATTATAAAAAAGACACACACACACAAAAAAAGACACAAAGAAGGAAGCTCTGGTGGCCTAGTGGCAAGAAGCTGCACTGCAAACCCAGAGGTATGTGGTTTGAATCCACCAGATGCTCTGTTGGAGAAGGAAAGGCAATCTCCTCCTGTACCAGTCAGATCTGATTTGACGGTACACACAAAAATAACAAAATAAATTTTTTAAAAAAGACACAAAAAATATGGACATGTTTATTATACTGATTGTGTTGATGCTTCCACTGTCTAGCTACACACCTAACTTGATCAAATGATGCCTTTTCAATATGAGCACTTTATTTTATTTCAGTTATACTTTAATAAAGCTGCTGGAAATGATTAGAGAGAAATCTGACTTCCATCAATGCCTGGATTCTTGCGCAGCAGAGGTTAAGCGCTCAGCTGCCATCTGAAAGATGAGCAGTTGAGCACACCAGCCAGCCCTTGGGAGAAAGATGACAGTCTGTCAGACGGTGGTTGAGTCCTGGTTGCTCTCCACTGAGTTTCTGAAGTTGTAAATGTTTTTTAATCCAAATTTGCTTTTATTGAGCTAGTTTACCATTCATCTTGATTCAGCATGCTTTTCTTAATGCTACTTCCATCTAAAGGAGCATCCTTCTGTAAACCCTGCTTTTCCTCCGATTAGGCTCAGAGAGCACAGCAGAGCAGCCAACACACTAAACTACTGTTTGTGCATAGCTGAGGCTATAGTGATTATTTAGCATCCTGGGCATTTCACATGCATGAAGTAGGGATTTGGGCGCTGTACCAGCCATTTCTTCTTGTGTTTCCTCTTCTCCTCTTCTCCTCTTCTGAAGAGGAATGAAGGAGATCCTTGGCAAGAGGCTTGTTGGTATGTGGAGGTCACTGCCAGAAAACCTGCAGCTGTAAATCTTCGTGGAATGAGAATGCCTCCCATCCTTCGATGGACACTGGTAAGTTAAACTGCTGTGCTTTCTGTTAATAGCCCAACACTTAACCTATTGTGCCGGCAGGCGTCCTTCCCTAACATTACAGCTTTGGAAACCCTGAGGGGCAGTTCTACTGTGTCCTATAGGGGCACCAGGCATCATTTACTAGATGACAACGAATTTGGGTTTTGGATTTGGTATAAAGGTAAATATAAAGATACAAGCTAAATATGAATAAGTTGAAAATTTTCCATTTTTCATTCTATTTGTCAACTGCCTAATGGAAATGAGTACCAGAATCTATGGTTTTAACCAATGCCAAGAATTTTATATCTCAAAACAATTTTTCATGTCAAAGCCCCATATTCTTTTTCTTTTGTTATTGTTGTTGCTGTTAAATGTGGTTAACTTTGTTTTGACTCATGGCAATCTTCAGTGTACAGAACAGAACTGCTTTCAAGGGTTTTCAAGCCTATGACCCTATGGAAGCAGATGGCCCGCTCAGTTCTCTGTAGTGTCTCTGTGTGGGTTTGACCCAGCAGCCTTTCAGTAAGAAGGAAGGCATTTAACCTTTTACATGACCCAGGGACTCCAGGCTAATAATTAGATAAAATCCTTTGCACTGTTTCTGCAGCTTCTACTCTCAATCACAATTCATTAAGTAGAGCTTTTATTTTCTGGTTTTGGGGGTTTTCTGGTGCCATGACCCGGATCCTTAAGTAGAGTTTTATTTCATTATTTATCACCCTTTACCTGACTCCTTATATGTTCAATCATTTCCTCTGCACCTTTTATCTCATTTTAAAATCAGATTAAATCACTTCATTCTTTTAAAATCTACCTTAAACTCCAATACTCTCAAATTTCTACCATCTTAGCTGTAGACAAGCATTTAATCAATACACCATGAAGGGTCCTTCCGCTTACCATCCAGAGACAGCATTCTATTCAATATCAAAGAATTTACAGCTATTTTGACCACCAAAAGGAAAGGATTTACCAAAATCCAAAATAATTATAGAGTCCTCAGCTTTGTGGTTAACGTAACATGATGTAACTGATGCCTCCTACCTTCTTTTCAAAAATTTTATGTCATTGATTTTCATTAAAAAAGGCAAAATTTAAAAAAGAGGTTTACAGGAATGTCACTATGTCTGAAGAAAGAGATATAAGACTAGTTGTATCATTTTTCAATTATTGTGTGACGGATTATCATAATATACTTCAAATACAAGCTCACAAATGTAGTGACTTTCAACACAAACTCATCTCACAAAAGACAGCAGAGCAGGGTAGGATTCTCTTGTTAAGTGTCTCATTGGGCTAAAAGCAAGGTATCAGCAGGGACTGCCATCTTTCTGCAAGCTTTCTGTTGTTGACACAATTCACTTCCACTTAGTTTCATGAAAGCTAAGTACTCACTGCTATAGAGTCAGAATATACTTAAAGCTGACCTTCTAATGTGCTTTCAGTGGTTGTAAATAGCACAGGAGGAGGGTACCCATTTTTCTCTATTGGAATAGCTGGTGAATTTAAGCCACCTGCCCTTGGATTGGTAGCACAATTCTTTACTGACTATCTGAGCTCCTTTCAAGATAGCTTGGAATACCAAACTCTTCTCAGGCTTTAAATCTCTCTGATATCTCCTTTATACCAGAAAACTGTGTTTTAAAGAAGTCAAGTGATTAGATAAGGCCTACTGGACCATCTTCCTATCTTAAGGTCAACTATACATATAACATGGTCTAACCATGGGAATGACATCCTATTCATAAATCTTAAAGACTGGATGCGAAATTTTAACAGGGGCCATTTTTTTAAAACTCTGGCTACCTCATTTCAGGGGAAAAATATTGTAATAAATACAGTTAATGCACTTTTCTTACCTATTAATAATGAACCATGCAACAGTAAGCATTCCTGCTAGCCATGTTCCACTCATAAGCCAACTTGTAACAAATAAAGCAGTCACATATATTCCTTGTAGTCCAAAAACAATACCAATATAGAAATAAACTGGTTCAATAATCTCCTACATGAAATGGAGGAAGAGACAAGTTAATATGATGATACTTAATAATTTGAGGAATGTGAAAAAATAAATATTAAAGTCAAGCTAAAAACACATACGTTGCTACCAGTTGCTTGATACAAAACACTGGCAAAAAGTTCTGGATATAGAGACATTTGCTGCACTGCATTTATTGTCTTTAGAGATACAGTTTTATTATTATGCGTCAGTTCATAAACTCCTAGAGATAAAAAAAAATTCGTCAGGTTACTTATTTTGCTTTTATAATAATAAATGTTTAATTCAGATTACTAAATATTGGATTATCAAGAAAGATCCAAAACATAATACTGTATGTCATTTGTCCAATTTTCTATTAAATATAATAATCAGCAGAATCTAAACCCTGAGACAATTTTCCAAATTTAAAGGCTCCAATCTAGATGAACAATGTGTTATTTCAGAAAAATGCTATTAAAAATTCAGAATTATTATACCTCTTTCATATGAAGGTGCTTTTAACATATCTTTATAATAGGAGTAGTAAATGGCACTGTCACCCTGAAAGGTGATTTCCCGTTCAAGTTCCTTAAGGAAAAATAAAAAAGAAATCGTTATGTAAATAGCAGCGTACTAAATTTTAGCCATATCTTCCTTCTTCATTCACTAGTAAATGAACTCTAAACTTTTCAACAATCTGGCAAATATTTTAATGAAATAACTAAGGTTTAAAATGCACTGTATGTAGTATTAATCATTTATATTATTTATATTAATATAAATGTAGATGCAAAAAAAAAGAAATGTCATAAACATAGCAAGAATAAAAAAGCAAGTAACAAAGCTAGATGGCTGAAATGTTAGAAGTCTATCATAAGAAGACAAGTTTAGGAGAGCTCTGGTGGCCTAGTAGCAAGAAGCTGTACTGCAATCCGAGACGCATGGTTCGAATCCACCAGATGTTCTGCCAGCAAAGGAGGGACAATCTCCTCCTGTACCAGTCAGATCTGATTTGACGGTACACAGACACACAAAAATAATAATAAAAAAATTTAAAAAAAGAAAAAAGAAGACAAGTTTAAGAAAGCATTTTTAAGTTATTTATTTTCACACTTTCTTTTTTTTTTTATGTCAAGACACTTTATTTTTAAAACAGGTCACAACACTAACCTTTGGCCCATTCTGCCCCTGGACAAGCTACAAATGCTTGCTCAGCAGCTGGGTGCATTCTTTAGTAGCATGTGTGAAAAGTGAATAAAAATGTATATAAAACAAATATTCAAATAGTTTCCATAGGAACACAGATAAGTGTGACCCCATCGCCTAGTCTTCCATACTGTTCCATCCCACCCTACTCATAT